TTAATTTTTTTTTGTAGTCTGTATATTTTACAATTTTCGAGTTGTCTGGTGTCTCGTTTTCAGTTCTTAGTCTATAGAGACCGCCAAGGACAGATTATGGTTTAATTCAGAACATAAATCTTTTTATCCGATATTTTTTACAACTTTGAGTTATCTGACGTCACGTTTGTAGAGGTTTTAAACTATATGCTATGATTATAATACGCCAATGCTTCGTCGTAAACAGTTATTCTAGAAAATGGTAGATCCGCCAATGTATGTGTTGGTAGTGCCCATTCTTAGTCAAAAGATAGCTGGAATATTTTAGAACGACACATATGTAAACTACAGATATAAATGACTGTTGTATTGAGTACAAGTTAATTGAGTTATTAAATAAATAATTGTCAGTGAAAATAAACTAACTAAACAAACACTTTTTAACAAGATAGATAGTTTTTTTTTCAGAATGCAAATACGATGACCTCATAATTTAACACATTAACATATTTTTAAGTAATAAACTGCAAAAAAACTGAAGCATAAAGCAAAATTCGTAGTCCAAATTTAAGGATTAATATTTTGAAATGAGGATTTTAGATCTGGCTCTTTTTTTGAACTGACAATGGAGGTTATGATTGACAACCTGTGTTATTTTTAACAGGTCTGTTATTTTATAAACACACAGAAATTACAACCTGTTCACAAATAACGTGTCTGTTAAAAATAACATTACCTCGATAATCGGCAGTGACAAATCTAACTAAAGAACATTCCCTTGTGAAATTCAAGGAAAAATGGGATGAAATAAGATGCTGCAGAGTTACTAGAGAGCCAACAAATATTTGACTGTGAGTAGACAGGCTTCACAGGCATTCTGACTGGTCATTTTGAAGTACGAAAGCATCTGCATACTAGGGGGTGCAAACAAGAAGATAAGACCATCGTGCATATCCTCTATGATTGCTCGACGCTCTTATTTATTAAAATATTTATGTTCGGTGAGTTTTGGCTAACACCAGCCGATATAAGAGACGTACCTCTCGGTTACGTTTTCAACTACATTAAATCTGTAGGCTAAGATGGGCCATCAATTTAATAGGATGCACAATGTGCCTAGCTAAGCCTAAATACCATGGTGTGTTAATTAACACTATTATTAATAAGATTAAATGAGGTTTTCAAAAGGTTAAACTTTGCTCTTTTCAAACCAATTGGTTGATATAAAATACAGATCGATTATACAGGCCTGTTCAAAAATATCTTTTAAAATTTAAAAAGTATCCCACGCCATCTGATTTTGTCGGATTTTCACTTATTTTCTGTATATAAGAGATCTGACAATTAAATAACGAGACTGCTTATGAAAAATAGTTTAATTTTAAAAATTATTTTACAATCGAATGCTCCCCTACCCTCGCCACACACCGTTCCATTTGCTTTTTGTAAAAACATTTAGAAGCTCTGCCGATTTTCGCTTTACCTCTTCCAAACTGGGTTAATTTTAAGGCAGACTTAATCTTCGGAAACAATAAACAGAAGTCACAGGGTGCTAAATCAGGCGATTATGGCGCATGTTCGTCACTAGAGTGCCCCTAGCGGCTAAATAATGCTTCACAGACAGCGCATTATAAGCACGTGCGTTGTCCTGGTGCAAGATTCACGACTTGTTTTTCCACAACTCCGGCTATTTTTTACGAACTCGCTCTGACAGTTTTGTCAAAACTTTCAAATAGTAAGTTTGATTTACGGTTTGACCCTCTGGAACCCATTCAATCATCATAATGCCGTTGAAGTAAAAAGAAGCGATTAACATTGCTTTCAATTTTGATTTCGACATTCCGCCTTCAGAAAACCGTTCATACCAATCAAAAACACGCGTTCGAGATCGAGAAAATTTTTTACCAGGTCTCTTTTAACAACTTATAGAACTCATTCGTATTTTTTTTAACTTAACGAGAAATTTAACATTGATCCGTTGCTCGTGTTTTTCGTCAAGCATTGTTATCGACACGGGAAAAAAAACACGTTTGTTTCTAACCTTTATAGAAAAATACTAGTACAGCGACAAAAATATGTTTTTGTGCTGGAATAGTAGACACTTTCAGCTATCCAACGCTTAATTCGTTTCCTCCCGTACCCCTCTCGGACGCCTTCTACGCGCGGAGTCGCGTTATTTAATTGTCAACCTCATATTTAAAAAAATATATATTTGTGACAAACCCAACACAATAAATTAAGGTTCTTGTGTTGAAAATTAGAATAACTTATTAACGAATAGATAAAATTAACGAACTGATTTAAAAGACACTTCCTTAATCAAACCAGGATACCAAGTGGCAAATACACTGGTGTGCATTGGGAATAACATGAGTAAATAATAAAAATTCAAGTTTTTCAAGATACATTTAACCAATCCTGTATGACTGATATAATACTTTATAATCTTTTGACTTGCAAAGATAAATCTTTAATACATTCTAAACCGCATTTGATTTTCATTAGTAACTAGCTTTCAATGAAAAAGTAGACCAAGTTGCCGTATCAGACACCAGTATCCCATTGCTCGCAGAAATCCCTACAACCGATTGTAAAACAGTAATAAAAAAATATACAAAAACTATATGGCACCAACAGTGGGATCAAAAAGTGTCCAAACTTAAAGAAATCCAGTCAGAAGCAACAATGAAACTATATCTACCTTACAAGCAAAGATACCAAGTGGTGATAACCGACTGCGAATGAGCTACTCCTTTAACACACTAATATATTTTCAAGAAAGAACCACCAACCCAATGCCAAACCTGCCAAAGTTAATTAAGTGTAAAACATCTATTAACACAATGTGCAAATTTTTAGTGCAAACTTTAGTTTTTATATTCTTTTATATTTTGTATTTGTAAAAAATAAATGTTCTTTACTCTTGAGTAAAATTGATATCTAATAGTTGCATTTTAAGTCTCAGACCATGCAGAACTTTTTATCAGGAATAAATTTTTTTACAAAACCATTAATAAAAAAGTTTTCCATATGGTTCCAACTTAAGTTACACACTGTATAAAAAATTGATAGTAAAATTGTCACAGGGTGTTAAAGTTGAAATTTTGAAAGTGATATTTTGCTCTTACTCCACAACGCCCTAAGATATTTTGATGAAAATTTTCATAGGATGTAAGTATACAAAGACCAATAAAATAAAGTAAGTTGCGTTTAAAATTGTTTTAATTCTAAAGTTTTTAGAAGGGTTCCGCACCTCTGACCCCCCCCCCTTCCCTACTTTTTTAGACAATAAAATCTAGGTAAAAACAGGACGTCACTGATCTCCTATATTTTGAATTTTTTTCCTCCTAGTATTTGTTAGTGCAAGCCTTATTTACTGAGTTGTAGGCCCCTGAAGAAAAGTCATAGTGAGAAAAACAGTAACATTTTTTCTAATAATCTACTGAATAATTTTTACCGCTTTATTACTATTTGACAGCTTTATAGATGATTGCTATTACAAGAGAAGAATTGTACGCGAAGTTATAAAATAGTAAAAAATATCGTTAAAAAAATATTCTGTGGTTTAAGATCTATAGAAAAATGTCATTGTAAATATTATGTCTTCCTTGAAGGGCTTATAATTCAGTGGAGTCCTCTTTTTACCTAAATTTTATTGTCTAAAAAAATTAGAAAACAATTTTGAGCGCCACTGGCTCATTTTATGGGTCACAGTATACTAACATCTCATGAACATATTTATAAAAATATGTTAAGCCGTTTTCTAGTAAGATCAAACAATCACTTCTAAAATTCCAATTGTAAGTTTTTTTACTATCCATTTCTAATGTAAACAAGTTAGCTTGAATCAAATTATTTTCGATCCCAGACACTGTGGTTAAATTTGGTGAACATCATTTTATTACACCCTGTATAAGCTTGTTTAACTATAACTTCTAAAATTTTAAAGTATAACACATCTGAAGTCGTATTTTCATTTGTTTTCTGTATAGGTTTAATTAAATATTTACATTTATGATACACCCTGTATAAAAAATATGTTTTTAATTAACGAATTGATTGCTGTACACTTGGTATAACACGATCTTTTCAAGTTTTGCTAAATACAAGTATGTAGTATGATTGACAAATATTTTATCTTAACCTAATGACCAGCAAAGATCAAATCGTTAATCTATTCTAAGCAGCACTCGATTTCATTAATAGACCATTTCATAGTATCAGCGATTATATCACTCAGCTCCAATGCTGCCAAATCGTAAGGCTTCATATAATCGGTACTGTAGAATTGACCCCTGAGGATCGTACGTATATATACAAGCCCTCTACAGTTGATTTGCATGAACTAACTAGTGTATATATGCAGACATATTGCAAGCTTAAGAAGCCTACTAACATTTTAGAAATAGTACATTTTTACGACATTTGTGGGGAAAAATTGAAATGTAACGCCAGTTTTCATAAGATTGGCAACTGTATAAACCGTACTAGTTTTTATTCCAAAAACAGATGGCACCTTCTGCCAAAATTTTAGAATATACACTGTAAAAATTAGGAAGCCCGTTTTGGGCTTCGGTAAACTGCAGCGGGCTTCTTATAAACCGCGAAATATGCACTTTCGGGCTTCGCTATGGTGGATTACATGTGTATATATATATATATATATATATATATATATATATATATATATATATATATATATATATATATTATATATAATGTGTAAGTAGTAAAATTCAAATTGAATAATATTCCGAGAATGTCATTTGAACTATGATAATAAATTTATATTTTCGTTTTGAAGAAAAACAACCGGTGGGATTTTCTGGAATAATTTCAGTTACCTATAATACTTAATTGTCAGTCAGCTTTTCTAAAAAACGTTTATTTTCCTATACCTGTATCTATAAATATGTATTCATAATGATAATTTACTGACTTAATTTTGTATTTATTTAACTAATGTTCTTAGGTATTTCCTGTTCAAATTTATTAATATTAGATAATTTTGTTTATTTTACCTAGGTCCATTTCCTCTAAGGCCAAGTTTTTCCAAAACTGAGTTAGGTAGACTAGGGAATACTTCAAAATTAAGTTCATCGTCTTTTAGTTTCCTTGCTTCTCCATCAGACATTGACCGTCCTCTTAGTTTGAATAGCTGAAAAAATAAAAAAAATATTAAGAAAATATCTTTCTTTCGAAAATAAGCTCATGCGAATATATTTATTTAAATATAAGAGGTTGCTGTATGTCAGGGATAGAACCAAAGCGACATTACCTAAATGTTTAAACATAAAGATCTGAAATTTAGGGATACTGAATTATAAAATAATACAACAAAAATTAATTGGAGAGAAACGCATTCTATCGAATATCAAAGAAATACCCCAATATATGCCAAAGAAGGCAGCAAAGCACCTTGAGAATTGAGTTGAAACATGCCACATTTTTAGGCTATTTTAAGGCTATTTTTATACCCTATTCAAAAATTGTGTGCTCCTCGTTTTTTTTGCAAAAATCAAGGTGCTCTGCTAGCTTCGAACGAAGTCAGCAGAGCACTTCAGTTTTTTAATGCTTTTTTTCCAAAACCAACGACACCATATTTTTAGGCTATTTTTAGGCTCTTAAAATATTATAAAACTTTTCGAAAAATTTTGTTATTTTTAAAAAATACAGGGTGCTTTGCTAGCTTCGAACGAATCCAGCAGAGCACCTCGGTTTTTTAAAGTTTTTTTCTAAAAACAACTACACCACATTTTTAGGCTATTTTAAGCCTAAAATTATGGTGTTGTTGGTTTTGGAAAAAGCTTTAAAAAACTGAGGTGTTCTGCTGACTTCGTTCGAAGCTAGCACAGCACCTTGATTTTTGCAAAAAACGAGGAGCATATACTTTTTGAATAGGGTATAAAAGTAGCCTTAAAATAGCCTAAAAATGTGGCATATGTTTCAACTCAAAATTCCCGAGGTGCTTTGCTGCCTTCTTTAGCATCCCCAAGATTAAAGTAGTTCACAAAGAGACAATCATCTAAATCCACAATAACCATGTCTGCACAAAATATGTAGTAAAAAATAAGTAAAAAAATAGGAAAAAAATAGAGAAAATTCTCAATTTTTACATTATTTATCGACAACAAGTTTGTTATAATCGGAAGACTGTTTTGGAAAAGCTATTTTCAGCTGTCTCAAAGAACATGGGCCAATTTTAATATAGAATAAACCTTAAATGAAAAATACATAAATATATAAATAAGGTTTCTCCAAAATAAAAATAACTCAAAGCCAGTGATCATATTATTTGAGTTGGATATTTTGTCATTTTTAAGGTTTTTTAAAGATTTTTCCAGTAGATTAGATCGTTATCTAAGAAAACTTTTAAGAGTGTTTTTGTTCTTATTTATTTTATTCTCCATAGAATATTATTAGGCTAATCATCAATTGCATTTCCTACTTTTGCATTTATATCTCTAGTATAATCAAATCCTGAACTTTCATCTTAAATTTTTATAGTTACTCATAATTATTTTCATTCTGCCCTTAACAAGTTTATTGTTTTATTATTTTGAATTTCTATATCGTTAATATTCTTTCATTATAGTATTCATGTTTGGAATGTTTGAGGCTTTCTATTCTATGTGATATAAATTTAGATATATTTTCAAAATAGTGCAGTTATTTTCAAATTTAGGCATTAAAAAATTTAGTAACCGCTTGAATTATGATTATTTAGAATGTACAAAAAGTGATTGACGTTTTTTAAATAAAACATATTTCAAATAATAACCGAGTAAACTTTAAAATCCTATAATTAAAATAAAACTTTGCTTTTCAATTAACAAGACATATATCCAAACATTGTAATTCTTTGATGATTTAAAATAACAAATTGAACAGAAAAATATTTACACGAAAACGATTTGTTTTAAACGCGCCCTCTGTAAAAATGTAGACATGTATTACATAATAGAAAATTCTGTTTTAGTTTTATATTAATGATTTTAATTATAGAAAATAGTAGTTTGTGCAACAAGAATTGATATATGATGGCCATATCGCACGAAGACGAAATTTGAGCCCGACGCCGTAGGCAGAGTGCTCAATCGACTGAGTGCGATGTGGATAATCTACTCTAATTGTAGTATATTTTTTCTACGACCCACTAACGAAAATTTACAAAAAAAAATATTTTAGGTTATTAAGACAAAATAACTAATTTTAAAATAATTTGTGACTTAATAATTTTTAAAATAAAATAAACGAAAAAGAAAAAAGTTCATTTAATTTTTTCCTATCCGAGAATCGAATACGAGTCTTCAGTGTAGAACGCAAGAACGCTATCCAGAGGACCACCTATTCTTTTATTTTTGTTGCTTTAATACTCATAATTAAATTGACTTCATATAGTTTTATTTAAATAAACAAATTATTTATAATTATAGACGAAATAAAAACAGAAATGTTATTATTTATCGATTCGACACAAGAATAACCCATTTTAATGTATGTTTAATCTCAATAACTAAAAAATATACTGACAATTAGTTTGAGAGAATTGTCACTTATTTAAAATTTTAAAAATAATAGCAGTCGGTTGATCAAAATATGAAATCCACCAATCATGGTGAAATTTATTTTTTTGCAGTGTTCTGACTACCCGGAATGGATATAAAATATATTCGTTCAGCTGAAGGCAATAGCATACTTTCTCGTTTTGTACTCTGTACGTAGATAAGCTAATATCCATGTGGGTGTAGAAAAAGTAATGTTTAACTTGCAACGAAAGCTTGTTTTCATTCGTATATAATTTACACAATTCGAGTCGATGAATAAAATCAGTCAGTACTAATATAGTAAAAGGCCTGCAATATTCCGTATATTACCCATCAATATGCCTTTAATTGCCAGTATATTAATTTCTACAGGGGAAATGAAGGCCTATTAACTGGATATGATGGCTATGTGACTTCAGCCATAGTGTCGGCCTTTTAATTATAAAAGTTAAATGGCCCATCATTACAATGAGCTTGAAAACGATATTTAAATAATTTTTTATAAAAAGAGACAGTTTCCAACTTAAATTTGACAATTTAAGTAGAGTAAATCACAGAATTTTATTTTTAAATGGCTACTAGTTTCGGCCTCTATCATCAGGCCTAAAATTGTAAGGTTGCATAGTAGATGGAATGATCAAATTTTGCCGTTCCCTACCCGTCACAAATTTTGGTTTTTGAATAAGCACATAATAAACCTCCGTACCAACATTAGACAATCCTTCATTTATTATGTTCATCCCTTTCTTTACTTTCACACCAATTTAACACACCCTATCCCTCTTTCCCTCCACATTACCCTCTTTTCTCCACATTCTTCTTACCATAATAGCTCATAAAACCGATTCCTGGTAGTTTTTTAATTTGGTTCCTCCTCGAGGATATCAAGAATCGGTTCTATTAAGTATTACCCTCCCTTCCCCCTTTTTAACTCAAGTTAATTCCTTGCCCTACCTCCCCATCTATAATTTTAAGATAATCCCCCTTTTTTAACTTGTGCTTTTATTTCACCTTTGATTTTATACTTAAGTGGACTAGAACTCATTGGACATTTGATCTAGGGCTCGCTCTTTTTTTTATTTAACAATATTAGTTTATAAGTCATATAAAAAAAGTGTTTTCTTATAACACTCTTGATCATTCCATCTACTATGTAACCTTACAATTTTATGCCTTCTAATGGCCCATAAAGGCCAAAACTAGTAGCCATTTAAAAATAAAATTCTGTGGTAAATGACTTAGAGTTTTCTTTTCTTTTTTAACAATTTAGTTGGTTTCTACAGCATATATAGTTACTTCACAATTAATTAACAAAGTAATTCACCATAAAAGGACCTTCCTTACAATTTAATGTCATGTCATACAGTCTGGGCGGGTGGGGGAGGTAATAAAGTTTAAGTCTGGGGGTTAGTGGTAATATTTAAGACCTTCTGTTTGATAATAATATATTTTAGTAGCTATAAAACTTAGGTTAAAAAATTCTTTGGGCGGTAATTATTACCCCCATTATCCCCCGTATATGCGTCCCTGATATCATGGCACATTAAATAAGTGAAACTCGAAAATAAATCCTTCAGAATTTATTTTTTGTGGTTATTTACCGTAGCAATGTAAAAATAAAACAAATCTGATTTGAAAAATATACAACTTTTTTATTTGATGCAAAAATTATTATTAAACTAAGCTGGATAATGTTTTAAATCTGACTATAAATAATATTTCCGAGCCATAAACCTGCTGGTCTATAATATAAACAAAAATTTAAATATAATCAACTGGCAATTAAATTTTTATTATCGCAGCATCGTATAAAGGGCAAAAGTGAAATTGATAATTTTATCTTCATCTTGTTTTTAAGTTTAATTGTATTTTTTGAAATTATTTAAAGCAACATTAAATAATATTGATAAAGAGAAAATTAAGAAAAATATAACATTATATTTACTTACATAAAAAATTGGTGCTTTCCTTGTTCTGTATTATATAAAATTATAAATCAATCACAACAAACTTTCAAAAACATTTTATCTAAAAACCAAAATATCTAAATAAATAATGAATAAAATTTAAATTTAATGTAAACTAAAAATAGTAGAAGTTGAGTACGGATTAAAAACATCCAGAACAATTTTAATTTGTTTTTTATATGGTATTGGCATTAAATATATCTCTTTAAGGTTCTTGTTCTTTAAGGCTCATTGGTTATTTTGTTAAATTATGTAAGGTCGATATTATATTTTTAAAAACTTTATTTTAGTTATAAATTATATAAAAATAGTAATAGTAATTTTTGATTACTATGAGAATACAATATCTAGAATACATACATTAATAACTTGTTATAATGGTAAATGAAAATGAAACCCCAAAAAAGGTATACTAAATCACAATTTCTCATTTATACAGGGCAACAATGTATAGCGGGGGTGGGTGGCTCAGTGGTAGAGTCTCTGCCTGCGGATCCAAGAGTCCTAGGTTCGAATCCCACCGTTGGTCGGAATTTTTTAATTTAATTTAATTATTTAAAATTAATTCTGATGCCTTGGTAGGATTCCCCACTTGACCATTCACTGTTGGGTTCTAATAAACACTGCTGTTTTTGAAGTGGCAC